GGTTTTTTCGTTGGCCGGAGGCGGTACCCTTGAAAGATATGACGGCGGAGACTGTATGTATGGCACTTTGGACTCATTGGATAGCGCGCTTCGGCTGCCCTAAAATCATTACAACCGATCAGGGCTCCCCGTTTGAGTCGTCACTTTTCAAATCACTGTCGAATATGGTGGGAAGCGAACATATTCACACCACCCCATACCCCCCGCAACCCAATGGCATGGTAGAGCGGTGGCACAGATCGTTGAAAGCTGCGTTGATGTGCAGTCCGGAGACACAGTGGACAAAACTACTACCAACCGCCTTGCTCGGTCTTCGTACGTGTTTCAAGGAGGATCTTCAGACTTCAGCTGCTGAGATGTTGTATGGTTGCACGCTTCGCCTCCCCAACGAATATTTTTTCGATATAGACACTCCATCTAATCCGGTAGAGGTCTTCAACAATGAATGTTCGCACGTATTTGTCAGAACTGACAGCCTTAAGCAACCATTAGAACCGCCATATTCAGGACCATTTCAGATTGTTGCCAAGCCTTCGGACAGGGTTTTCGTTGTACGTATCAATGGTAAGGATACGGCGCTATCAATTGACAGACTGAAGCCAGCATTTGTAACAAAATATGATCCCAATCCTGCCGAGGATCAGTCCTCACAGCTCATATCTTCGAAAATGCGACTTATTAGAGGCAACAGCGGTCCTAATTTTGAAACCCTTTGGTTTTTCTAGGAGGGGAGTACTGTGGCAACATTTGCCACCCTCTGTCGGAATTGTACAGCAACGCATTACATGCATCTGGCATTGCTACGATATCAACTTCTGACAGAACAGCTGATTGATTTCACAATCTTTTTGTATTAACGACTGCTTCATATCGAACATCTTGAATTATAATTATATCTTAGCTTAGAAATAAAGAGAAAGTTTTGTAGTTGTACTGGTGAGTCTTTTATTGAACCAGTAGACTAAATATCTCCCCAGCAGGGTTAGAACCACGGTACGTTCGTAGCAGATTTAGTACCTTTTGTCGGGAAAATTAATTCTTACTAGACATTTTGCCTTAATTGCCCTTTCTTCGATATGCCTTCGACAATAATAAAGGTGGGTTTACTACTAATCTGAAATACGAAAAAAAGCTAAAGCATGAAACGAAGAATTACGCCAATTTTTTTTTTAATAATTGGATATCCATTCATTTATATGATCTGTACTGTAAACAGTATTTTAATTTGTTACCAGTTTTCGCACCCTTTACTACGGTGTACAAATAAGTTCTAACCCTGCTCGCCAATTCCATTTTAATCGTATGTATGAAGTACATATGAGAATATCGTATATGTGTATGTACATGAGAAGATGTCACGCTGAATTTATTTGTGGAAGGTGTCCGTATGGGACTTTACTGCGATGAGCAGTGTTGCCAGAACTCNGAACCGTCTAAATTGGCAAATAAAACCGGCTAAAAACGGCTAAAATGTTTCAACTAAATTTCACATGTTTTGTTTAAATAAATCACGAGTAAAAAGACTATTTCTTGGAGAGAAGTTACAAATTCGAGCCGGAAAATATTTTGCCAGCAAGAATTTGCAATTAGGCACATAGTTGGATTTTTTGTCGACGATAATTTGAATAAACAAGTTCGTTAA